ATGTATGTGTTCATTTTTGAGGAAAAATATCTGAAAACATAACAAGAAATGCTATTTAAATTATTTTAGTAAAATTTTATTTCACTTTTTCAGAATTTAATAGCTGTAAAATATTATATATTAATATTTTGTGTTTTATTAGTAAATAAAGAATATATTGTTTTCTTTAGTTCTCCAGAATGGGATAATATTTCTGAAAGTGAGAGAGAAAAACTTGGATTAACTTTTGATGAAGATGGAGAATTTTGGTAAAATAATAATATAAATTTAAATAATCTGATGGAAAAAAATATATGTATACAGTGGGTGATTGGTTAACAAACATAATCCATTCCAAGACTTTGTTCGTTAACCAATTGTCAATTTACCATAGGTTTTTATGGGAATTTGATTAATTTGTTCTGGAGATCCCAAAAAATAAAAAATATATACTTTCTTACTACATTTATTTACATGTAATAATAAAAGTACATATATATGCAGTCTTGCATTTTTATTAATCACGTTTTTCTTTTGGACAGATTCTTTAACCCCTACAAATGTTGATTGCTTTTCTCTCTTCTTCAGGATTTTTCGGAAGTAATTAATAGCATTGTTGTCGTAGAGATCCTCAAGCCTATTAACCTCAACTTGGTTTGGATGCCATTCTAAGACTGTTGTTCTGACATCCTCCCACTTCTTCAAAAGATCTTTAATAGCAGATGTTGGCATTGATCTTTTTTCATCTTCCTCTTTTTTAGAAGAAAATCATCTCACTGAGTTTCTTGGTGTTCTTTTGTGGTCAGATCAGTTTCAGATTCCATTATGAGCTCTTCAATGTCATCTTTATTCACTTCCAATTCCAGATCTCTAGCAGTTGTCACAATTTCATCCATAATTTCAGGGATATCTCTCTCTTCCTGAATGCAGAAGGGACACAGCTTTCACCAAGCAGAATTCAACTGTCGTTGAGTGACTTCTGACCATGCCTTTTGAATAAGTTGTATAGCTTCAAGAATATCAAATTTTTCTTTCCAAAACATTTTTAATGTCATTGTTGAGGAGAACTGGCATGCTTCAGAACACTGATGAAACAGTGCTCAAATGTACAATTTCTTCAAACTTGCAATAACCTCTTGATCCATTGGTTGAATCAACGAAGTGGTATTCAGAGGTAGAAACTGAACTGTCAACCAGGGAAAGTCTTCCAGCAAATTATCTTCAAGATAATTTGGGTGTCCTGGTGCATTGTCCAATAGCAACAATGCTTTTAATGGCAACTCATTGGTCTGAAGGTAATCCTTGATGCTTGGAGCACAAACTTCAAACAGCCATTCTTTGAAAANTGGAAAATTCTTAAAACATATAAAATTTTTATTAATAATATAATATAAAAATCTCAAAAAATATATGTAAACTAGCTGATGTATCTTGTGCTGTCTTGACAAAAAGTAAGAACAACAACACATTAAAATAAAAATCATATTAAGAGTTTGGTTACTTTAGCTTACCATTGTTCATGTTTATTGCAATACTCAGATAATACAAAATGGTGCATTGGTGTTGTGAGTAAACATGAATTGATGTTTTTCAACAGAAGCTAGTTGTTGACTTTTGTCTGTACAAAATAATTCGACATCCAAATTTTTTCTAATGTTAAATATAATGTATCATTTGCAGTCTGAATATGAAATGGTAATGGCTAATCAATCAAATTTCATGAAAAATGGACCAAATAGTTAAACTCAGCACTCTTCAAAACTCAAAAAAAGTATTTTGTGCTTGCTGTTAACTTTATATTAAATAACTTTTTAATTCAAATGCCACCATCCTACTAGCCAAATACAGTAGAAAGGGGATCTGTTGCAGATGGGAGTCAAAGCTAATTTGACCAAAAGTAGTCATTAACCTCCTCCTCTTGGATCAGAAAATTGTCTCTTAAGAGTTTTATTGCATTTTTTTCAAGCCATATTAAAATGTATAAAGAACAAACTAACTTTCTTCTTTGTGTATTAGATTTAAAAAACATTTCTTTTAATCAATTGCTCTCTATTAATACAAGAATTATGGAAAATACAAGGAATATATGACATACTTTTAACAATAAAGTTGATGTCAGTTAACTGATTTTAAATGTTGTACATATAATTTAATTCTGTTTTTAGGGTTTGGTTTTTTTTTTACTCAATGGAAACTCGATGGACACTGAGAGGGCCTTTTTCATATTCATTGTGAATTTACCAGACCTAGAATGAAGACAGCTAGGTAGTAAAGGGGGGCTGTTTGCCCCCCATTACCACTTGTCTTCATTCTAGCTGTCTTTACCCCCTAAAAAATTTCTGGGGCTGTTTGCCCAATTTCAATCCTGTCCCCTAGAGTAGTAGATTTTAGACACCTTAACTACCTCGGTGATTTGGCCATCTTAAGTAGTTTTAAAACTAATTTAGTTGTTAAGAATAAGCAATAAATGATTTAATTTTTATATATATATTTTTTAAGGATATCTGGAAACTATGAATGTTTGGAAGGTGGAAATTTATCTGATGCTTTAATTGATTTTACTGGTGGTATTTCTGAAGTGATTGAATTACAAAAAGATGATTATAGTAATGATGAAGTAAAAAGGACAGAATTATACAAAAGAATGAAGAAAGAAATAGAACAGCATTCATTGATGTGTTGTGCATTACATGTAAGTTAAAGATTTTTATATATATATATAAATATAAAAATCTTAAATTTGAAGAGACTGAAAAATGGCCAGTTTGAGTTATGGAGCATATATAAAACCCATCCAATAACTACTTCAAATATCAAATAGCCTATTTTTAAGGGTAATTAATTATTAAGTAATTTGGCTAGTGTTAGATGATTAGGCTACCATCTCTTATTAAATTTAATAATTAGAAATAAATGAACTAACTTTAGAATATTTTGGAAGAGATGATCAGCTCAGAGCAGGATTTAAACCCACAACTCCTTACTGTGCAGATGCATTGTCATTTACACTATCCAGATCTCTGTCTGATCTCTCCATCAGTTAATTATTAATTAATTCGTCTGGATTCAAGTTAAGGCAACTTAAACTGGCAAAATACTGATGAACAAAGGATACATTGCCTGGTAAATTGGCTTTATTATAACTGAATAAATAATCTAATGACATAGTTTGTTTCATTTGAAATAGATTTATCCAGCTGTATTAAAGCTGCTTCACCAGGCAATACACTGACAATATTCACGTTAATACAGTGGAATTTCTAAAACTCGAAACAGTCAGGAAAAAATAATTCAGACTTTGATTAAAAAGTTCCAAGTTATGATGTTTGACTATATTTCAAGAAACACTTGCAAATTTGACCAGAAATTAATTCTAGGAAAAAATTCAACTAAATACATTTAGTATATTTTGTATGACTTTTACAGTCCTGTATGACCCACAGGACTGTAAAAATTATTCAAAATGTCAATAGTTTAAGTTACATAAATAATCTAAAGTATCCTTCTTTGTGAAATATAAGATAATTTGTTCTAATAGCTTCATATCTTAAACTTCTCTATTGGGCTTTTTGTGAAGCAATGAAATCTTTCTTTACTGTTATTTTTTACTACTATATGTTCCTTGTTTCAATAACTTCATTCACTGAAACAAAGAACCTAATTAAAATTGAGAATAGATTGTTATGATATTCTAAATTCAGCTAGTCTGGAAAAGTCTTATCAAAATCTATTCAATTCTTTTCAGATAGCAGTTACAAAAATTATCATTGCTCTGAGATTCAATTCAGCAATCTCAAAACTCTAATATTAAAGTAGTTATTTATTTTTTCTGATCTCATTATATAATTGATAAAAATAATTATAAGTGATAAAATTTTTAGTAATTTTTGAAAAGTTATGAAAACTTTCACAAACTGTAGAATTTGTATTTCATTAAGAATTTTTTCAATTCATTTTGAATCAGTAATCAATGATATAGGTTTATTTATTTCTTTGTAACTACATACAGTAATTATTACCTTAAACATATTAAAATTTTAATTGTTGAGATGCACAGTACATCAAGTTAGATTTTGTATAATTTTCTAATACAGTAGACCCCCCTATAACACGGGTTCCTATATATAGTTCAGATTCCTATATGATGGCGAAAAAATTGTGACGGTATCCGTACAAACATGGTAAAAAACTCCTATAATTCGGTAAAACGTCATCGGTCAGCCGAACTACTTTCCACCATCCAGCGCCATGCTACGGAGAGTTTAGGCTGGTAAATTGAGTTTACTATCGTCTGTACAGTATGTAAATTAGGTACCATAAGTCTAATACAGTATAATAAAAAATGTATAAAAAGAATTTTATACATTTTTTATTCAACGGCCATAAAAATTATTTCTATTAATGATGTCTCCAAAGTTCAACGAATTTTTCACAGAAAAATAACTTATTAGAAAATGCACCTGCTGTTTGGTGCACTGCTCCATGATGAAAACAAGCTTAAGCAATGGCATTGTCGAACGGTGCACACTTGGTAAGTAATCCTACAATTTTTTGTTTATAGCATAGTTTATACGGATTATTCCCAAAAAATTATACATATTTTGGAAATGTTGAGCGAATTAGTCTAGAATTGATTAATTTTATGGAAGAAAACCTTTCAAACAGCCTTAGTCCGTAAACTCCACATGTGTTGAGGTGTGATTGGCAAGGACTCGTACGAGATGGATTCATAAAGAACAGAACGTATCTACCATGTTATAGGGGGGTCGACTGTACATTGCAAAATTTGCCTAAATTTAATATCAATTATTTTATATATATGCATTATTAAGATACAATCCATTCATTATGACTAAAAAAGTTAAATTTCATTAAATTTTCAGTTTAAGGTATTGTATACTTTTAATTAATATATCTAAAACGTTTTATGAGAAATGTATTGCTATAAGAAATATATATATATATATATATGCATTTAATTATATTATTAAATAATTATATAATTTAAGAATATATTTTAGGCAAATAGTCAGCAAGAAATGGAAATGCAAACTGAAGTTGGCCTTGTAAAAGGCCATGCATATGGAATAACTGCTGTCAGAAAAGTTGTTATTGGTGAATCTGGTCTGATGTCATATTTCACTGGTCGAGAAAAACTGCAAATGATACGTCTGAGAAATCCTTGGGGTGGAAAAGAATGGACAGGTGCTTTTAGTGATGGGTAAGCTTTTGAAATGCTACTTTAATAAAAAATAAAAAATATAATAGGTATATTTACATGAATGTGTGATTTTTCTGTAAGTTTTTTTTTTGCGAATATATGTATCTTTTTTCTTTAATGTAGAGCCAATGAATTGGTGTTTATATTTATAAGTTGAAAAAAACTCCTGTACTTTCAAATTTTTATCAGAAAAATTAGGTAAAGAAAAAGAAATGCTTAGCAAATAAACTAATAATAGAATTGTGTAATATTGAAGATGTAATATTACTTTCAAATTTTCAACTATATTTGTTAAATGAATTGCTAAAAAAATAAAAACTTATTTATTAAAAAGTAATTCGTGTTTGTCATTCAACTATAGAAATCTTACATTATATTGCTTGTATTTAGTAACAATACTTTCTGATTTTCGAAATATAAGTTTTTCCATTGTATGAGTTTTCAGTATTTCAAAATTTTTGTTATTTAAATTTGTTAGTTTTATTTAATTTCTATTAAATTATTTTTTTATATGATGATGAGACTTCCTTAATCAATTACGTCTTGTTTTTTTTATAGATTACATTCTATTTCATTTATTTTATTTATAAGAAATTTATATAGAAATATTGTACTTTGAGGTCAAATTATATTAAAATAGCTATGTCTTATATATGATGTCATTTTATTTAATGTGAAATTTTTATTTTCTTAAATGTTTTTTTTTATTGATACATTTCTAATTATTTGAATTACAAAAAACAGAAATACAGTGGAACCTCGGTATACGACCTTAATCCGTTCCTGATGTTTGGACTTATACCGAATAGGACGTATACCAAACTAACCTTTCCCATAAGAAGTAATGCAAAAATGATTAATCCGTTCTCGTGAAAAAACCGTCTTGATATGGTATATTAATGGGGTTGTAAGATGATTTAAACACTGTTTGAGCACATTAATAAAAAAAT